TTTTCCATTTGAGCAGAATTCAACGGAAAACTTGTGTATCTGTTTTCACATATTATTTCTGTGCCTCCATGATTTGTCTCATGAAATATATGTAGATTATCAAGGTCAAATTTTATGATTTTAATTCTGTATAACATTTCTTCACAAGCCTTTGAGCAAATACAACAATAACATTCTAGAATTAACTTGCAATTACAAAATAAAAAATACTTGTGTATAAAAGTTTATTAGGCTAGTGTGACACTATGTCAAACCAGATTGAAGATAACATATTTTGAAATTCAGATGAAATAGGAATCAACATCATATAAAAATACTTCTAAAATCAGATTAATAGAATCAATCATGAAAGCAATACTCTTGCAAAGGAAAATGCATAACTTTTTGATATTCTAGAAGAGGCCATTGTTCTGGGCTGGAATTAGTGGAGTTACACTTCAGTTCCCTACCAATTATCACAGTGGAAAGTGCAAGCTCCAACATTTATGTCATGTCAATGCTTTTCAGGTATATTTCAGGTCAGAGACACATGCCAAACAATTCTTTGTAAGTTGAAATGGGTGACAAATATGTAACACTGGGCAGAAATGGTTTAAGCTGATTTTCAGTTAATTAGAATTCAAAGTAAACAGCAGGTTCTTGTACCAAATACTCATCAAATTCTCCCATAATTCAATCAATACATCAAAGTCCCCTAAGGAAAATTAGTAATAAAAGACACAAATACACTGCAGCTCAAATTTATTTCTTGGAGAGGACTCGCATAAGTAGTAAAATGGGGCATCAAGCCAGCTCGCAACCTGGGCAGCTGGCAAGGATGCCAAGACAGTCAGAAGCTGCATAAAAACCAGCCACAAGGCAGATGAGGGAGAACTTCTGACTCCTAACACACTAAACTACTGGAAGTTGTTCTTACCACCGCACAAAGAGATTTTCTTTAAAAACTGATACAATGGCTGCTTATTCCTGGCACGACACTGGAGGTTATCTGGTAAAAACTATCCATTAAGTAACACACTAAACCATAAATGCATATGAAACAAACTGACAAACACTAAACAAAAGGTCCTAGTATAATGATGTAAAAAAAAAAAAAAAAAAAAAAAAAAAAATTATCATAAATATAAACAAAAGTATAATCCTACCACTGTAAAAAAGACAAGGCTAAGAAATCGCAATCAATAATCCTAACAATAATTACAATTTGTACTGAAATAGTCATTGACCGATAACAAGTAATGAAACAATTTGCGCACAATCTGCTAACTGTCTCTTGCTGCTGTGAACCGAAATTCCTGAAACATTACCGCAATGTAAAAAAAAAAAAAAAAAAAAAAAAAAAAAAAAAAAAAAAAAAAAAAAAAAAAAAAAATTATATATGATCGTGTAACACATTACATGTATTTCACCTGAGCAAGGTGTAAAATGGATGCCAGCCACGGATGAACCACTTGCCCATAGCTTCTCCTTGACAGCATTCTCTCTTTAAGCTACAACGAACACAGCACAGAAGCAAGGAGTTCTACTTAGTAAAAGTAATAATCATAACGATAATAGTATTTATATTAATAATAATAATAATAATAATAATAATAATAATAATAATAATAATAATAATAATAATAATAATAATTAATTAAATAATAATAATAATAATAAAATAATAATAATAATAATAAAATAACAATAACAATAATATTAATGATAATAATAATAACAATAATAATACAAATATTA